TTTTTTTGGTTTTTCTCCGGCACCAGGAACCGAACTCACGACCTTGCGCTTGCCAGGCAGGCGCTCTTTGCTGCTGAGCTAAATCCCCAGCCCCCATTATCTACATCCTTAATCCCAGTATTGCACCCTTTTCTTACAAAACAAATTTTATTGGTACATTTTGATATACATAATGATCACATTCATCATTGGGAATTTATACCTGTACATGATGCATCTTGATTTTTCATCTCCCCTCCCTTCAACCCTTCTTTATCTCCTTATTTATGAAAACTTTGTTTCCATTTTTTCTTCTATTTCTTTTTTTTCTTTTCCCTTCTTTCCTTCCCCCCCCCCCTTCCTGGTTCCCCTTCCCATTTGAACTTTCTTTCTATTTCCCAATGTCTATCATACGTTTTGGTCCCTATTTACTCTTTCAGTTTCTCACACAGAAGAAACAATGTGATAGTTAAACATGCTTGTCCATTTTATTTCACTGAAGAGTAGGCTCTCAAGGTGCATTCATTTACCTAGAAATGTCTCAAGTTTATCCTGATGGCAGGATAGTCCAGTATCACACATTTAATCCACAGGCACACACCCTAATCCAGCCACCTTTGAATCTTCCCACCCATGACAGCATGAGGCTTTGGGGGGGTGGATATCTCGATACAAGACGTGACAGGTGGTCTGTGTGTAACTATTGAAGAAACTTAAATACACATTTATTTGATAGATTCATGCATGTCTATGTGCATATGGCTCAAGCCAGACAAGAAAGACAGTACCAATGTTCTCACAAGCAAATCTTAAAACGTTGATCTCATAAAAGCAGAGAATAGAATGGTAGTCAGCAGGGCTGGTAGGTTGGAGGCAGTGAGGGTAAAGTGATGTGGGTCAAAGGTTATAAAATTTTGGCTAGACGGGAGGAAGAAGTTCAAAAGGCTTACTGTCTCCATACCCAGTACCTGTAGTTAAGACTGCTGCATCCTTGAAAAATGCTAAGGGAGTGGATATAAAGTTGTTCTCACCACACACAGCCATTTGAGGTAAAGCATATGTTAATGACTAGATTTTGTATGTGTACTTCAGAACATCGTGTTGTACTTGGCGAATGCATACAGCTTTATCAATCTCTGAGTGTAGAGAAAGGGTTTCACAAGGCCTCCCTTCCCAGCTGGTTGTTGCAGCTGGAACTTATCTCTAACCAAAGGTGGGGCTGACTGCTGCAAACATCTGGGGCACAGTGCTGTTTCTGTTTCTTCCTGCGCCCAGTCCCTGGCAGCTGTGGCTGGGTCTTCAAGCAGTTGTGTTGGAAACATCAGCTCTTCTTGCAAATCACAGTCGTGTACTGGATCCCAGATGGAGTGTGATGGTGCTTTCTGAAAGAGGGTTAGTCACGGTTCTACACACATGTTCGCTGTTGTAGACCTCATGGGACTCCTGGGGGCATGTGCGCATTTGCACAGGTACAAACCGAGAGCTGTGTGCTGCCGTCCTGTGCCTCCCTTCTCCCATCATCTCTGTGACTCTCCATCCTCCGAGTGATCTCCTCAGTTCCTTCTTTTTATGGCACTGAGGTGGGTACTTTAATTAGCAAATGATCATTTGAGAAACTTGCTAACATGTTATTTCTGGGTCCCTACCAGATTTTCTAGCTCAGGAGGTCTGGGGTGGGGTTCACCAATTAGCATTTTAATCAGACTTCTTAGATTTGGCCAGGTGGGGGCTATAAACAGAGTACCTGGGACCTACCCTACCTATCCTATTCCAAGGACCCATAAACAAGTTTGAGAACCAACTTATAAAATTATTAGTTTCAAGTCATGAAAAGGAAGCTGTAAAATGGCAGAGACTAGAGGAGCTGCTGGAGTGAGCCCTACAGGCCCCAGAAGAGGGCCTCCTGTAGATGTCCCAGCCCACGGGAGCACCTGGAGGCTGAAGGCCAGAGCAGGGGTGACCAGCACCAGGCTGCATCTGTGACCTGGGGCTGCCCTACGTGTAGAAAGGGATTTGACCTTGTCCTTAGCCCTAAGCATGTGGGATGCCCCACATGCTTTTCCCTGGCACATAATAACTGTACATATTTACAGGGATTTCACTGTGATAATTTGATATATAATGTATAATGTTTAAATAAGGGTAATTAAAATCTCTGTCTCCTTAAACAGTTATCATTTGTTTGTATGGGGAACCATTAAACTCCTCTCTTCTAGTTCTTTCTAAAATATGAAACAGGGCTGGGAATATAGCTCAGTGGCGCAGGCGCCTTCCTGGCAAGCACAAGGTCGTGAGTTCAATTCCCGGTACCAAAAAAAAAAAAAAAAAAAAAGAAGCAAATTATCACACACTGTAGTCAACCCTGCTCTGCAGCAGAGCACCCGCTGCCATGGGACATGCAGAAGTATCACTCCGTCGTTATGCCTCACTTCCACGTTCTCTTTACTCTGCTGGCATCTTCTTATTTTCTGTTCTTTGACTCACCTTCTTTTTGTTTGTTTACTGTATGTGAAAATCAGTCCAATTACAGCTGTAAAAAAGTTTACAGAGCACCTCCACTCAGAATATGGCTCTAGCTTCCTTCTGCATGGCTCAGCCTCTGTCCCACCCACTTGTGTACACACTTTGGACAGCCATGGTCTCTGGACATGGGATTTTTAGTTGTAGTTTTTCTTTTTTTCTTTAATATTCTTTCTTTTGGCATCAGTGAGGATTAAACCTATGGTGGGCAAGAACTTTACCACTGAGATACTTTTCCAGCTCTTTTAACATTTTGAGGCAGGGTCTGGATAAATTGCCTAAGCTGGCTTCCAACATGCTATCCTTTTACCTCAGCCTCCTGAGTAGCTGTATTGTAAGTGTGTAGTTGGGGTTTTTCATGCAACTATCCCATATATGATTCCTCTGATTTTCCTTCTTGGGGGACTTTACAATACCACGCACCCCACTCCCCATGCTTACAGTCCTGTCTCCATCTCCTCCTCAGGCTCTCCACTGAAGGAGCCCTCCCTTTGTTTTTTAAATTTGTGTATGTTTGCAGTGCATAGTACTCATGTTCATCTTGGGGGATTGGTACATATACACATCACATCTTAATGATTTTTATTTCCCATTCTCCTCCTGACCCTCCTTTCTCAACCCCTAAAGATAGAGACATGGGCAATGGCCTTTGGAACGGAATCTCAATTGCCCAACAAATGCTAAGAACCAACAAATGCGATTATATCACATTTAAAAGTTATATGGCAAAAGAAACAACCAAACAGAATGAAGAAACAACCTACAGAATGGAAAACAATTTTTGCCAGTTATTCCTCAGGCAAAGAATTAATGTTTAAAATATATAAAAAGCTAAAAAAGTAGAACCCCACCAATAGAAAACACAATCAAAAATGAGCAATTGGAAAGAACAGACACTTCTGAGAAGAAATACAAATAGCTAATAAATACATAAAAATGTTCAGCACCTTTGGACACTAGAGAAATGAAAATCAAAACAACACTGAGATTCCATCTTACTAGAGAAAGAAAGAGTCTCTTTCTACCAGAAGAATCTTCGAGAAGATCTGAGCACTTTTGGGCAGATTTCACAAGAAGAAAATAGTGCATTTGTGAACTTGAGATTCCTGGGAATCACAGTCATGGTCAGCAAAACAGGGCAACAAGGATGTCTCACTCCCAGCAGCCTACCACAAATTTAGAATAACAAGCTGTGGAGTTTATTCTGAGAAGCTGTAGGCAGCTTAACATAAGCCTCCTTTGTTAGTGGCAGCATAAATTGGTCTTTTGGAGTAATTTGTCAGGCGGTATCAAAGTCCTCCATGGACCTTGTATCACTGTTTGGGGGCTTCTTTAGAAGACACGCTCCAAAAAAAAGGAAGGCTGTGCAGTGCAAAGATATTCTTACAGCCAAGTGCATTTGGGGGAGAAGGGGACCTCAAGAGCACACTTCTGCTGTTCTGTCTCACAGGCAGCCAAAGTGTCCTCGTGAGGAAGGGGAGCACCTTAAGGACAGCGGTGACAGTCTGTGATAGGACAACCCCGAAAGACGTATGACCACCCTAGGATGATGTCCGTCCTCTGTGTAGAGAGACTGGCTCCTCATTGGAACATGAAGGTTGGACCTACTTGGAATAGTAGAAGGTGGCAATTTCCTCATTTTTCTTGTCTTCTGCCTCCTCATCCCTTCCTTCTTTGTGACCTGGCTCATTCCCTTAGAAAATATTTATTGCCATGGAAGGGAAAGAAAAGAACCATGGATGTGGATGTGGAGGACACCACATGCCTCCAAGAGTGGTGTTACAAAGGGGCAGCAGGACACTCACTGCAAATCAGGCAGTGCACGGGGCTCATGTTCAGGAATGAAGGGCAGGTGGGTCCTGGTGTTGGGACTGCATGTGTCACACCCGACAGAGGAGCTGCTGCATTCCCAGCAGAGCTCAGTGGTACAAGGATGAGCTAATGAGGGTACATGCTTTTCCTCAGTGGACATCAAGCCTCTTGTGGTGCTCTCCATCCTCTGTCAGCTCTGCTGTAATCCCCATTTCACAGACAAGCACTGTCAGTCCTCAGGGCTCATGGCAGGTGCATCCAAGAAGGCCCAGATGTGTTCCAGACTCAGGCTCTGCTCACAACCTGCCCAGAGGCATGTGGCAGCATTTGGGGGCAGCTCTTTCTTCCTACTGCCCTCCGCCATAGTGCTTGCCAAAGTGTCCCAGCCAGTAAGAAGCATAGCAACATTCATACCTGGGCTTTCCGACTCTGAATCTGGTGGGTTTTTTTTTTTTTTTCTGTAACATTTCATGACAACTTCCTGTGTCTCACTTCCTTTTCTGCTTTCTCCATTTGCATTCTCTCCAACCCTCTGTGAGCTTTTACTCCAGTGCATCTGCTCCATGCCGTGCATGTGCACCCAGTATAGTTCTGGAGGTTCAAGGGCGTGTCACTGGCATGGCTTGGCTCTCTGGAAGGCCCCTGGCCAGTGGCATCCATCATGGAGGGAGTATGTATGTGGGAGGGAGATCACACAGCGAGACAGGAAGCTGAGAGACTGATGGGTGGGGCCAGGTCTGCTCTTTTATGACAACACCCTCTAAGCACTACCTGAGGGTTTCAGGAGAACCCCTGTATTGCTCTCTGAAGGATGGCAACCTGTCCCTTCCCGTGAGCCTCCAGTTCTTCACATTACCACACCAGGAACCAAGCATTCAACACGTGGACCTTTGGGAGACCCACTCATATGTTCAAGGCACATTTGTCTGCTGTCCACACTCTGGGCACACCGGGTCAACTTTGCCCAAGGTCCTGACCTGATAATTCCCTTGTGCACAGCTGGTTTTGTGATGAACACTTCCCACCTGACCCTGCATGGATTGTGGGAGAGTCTCTCGTGCTCTGAGTTATAATGTACACATGTGCTTCATTTCACAAGTATCGCCAGATTGTTTTCCAGAGTGAGGGCAACAGCATACACTTCCACCAGCCATGCTCAGAGTTTCTGTTCCCCCAAGACCTCAGCAGCCCCTATGTGATCCAATGTACCAGAAAGGTTGCGTTTGGTCACACAACCACGTCCTTGTGCTGTTAGTATTTCCACTTGCATCCCAGCATTTGGAGGGACAAGGAATATCAGTAAGGGAATGGGCTCCTTTGACACCAACTAGAGGAAAGTTTCCCCAGAAATCTCCAGTAGACTTCTATGTATCATTGGATGGACTGGGCCAGGGGTCCCCCTGGCAGAGACGACAGGATCACCATGGCTGTTCCAGCTTGGTTGGTGCTTTCCCCTGCCATGTACTGCTTTTCAGTGCATCCCTGTCTGCCCTGAACTGAGTAGAACTGAGAATACTGTAATGAAGACACAGTGGCCAATGGTGTTTTTTGCACCTAGTTCTACTTTTGGAGCATATGAATGTATGCTCTCCTTCTGGATATCCCTCCAGGCTCTCTGGATTAACCATTTGCAGAGAAGTACAGAAGCAGTGAGCCAGCCCATGCGTGTGTGTCCAGCTCCCTAGGGATTACTTCTGTCCACTCATCTTCAAAGCGGCCAGGCAGACGTCAAGCCCATTGCCACTGCAACTGCCCTAATTTAGTTTCCCGCAGAGTCCCCAGGACAGAGAGCAGTGGAAAGATTCAGAGGGAGAGCACCACAGTGCCATCATAAGTTTCAAGTGATACCTAATAGTCATGAGTGCTGAGTACTCACTCTTCCAGGTGACCTGCCAAGCACTTTGTTTCTCTGATCTCATAGAAATCGGAGAGCAAGTCCGTGTCATGGTCAGAGCCCAGGTTCCAGCCAAGCCAGCTGATGAATCCACCTTTTGACATTTTCTAGTAGACGGGCCTTGGGCAAGTAACTTCATTTTCTGTTCCTTGGCTTTCTCTTTCGTACGTCAAGAGTAATAACAGTACGGTGCAAATACTCAGTGGGCTAACAACACGAAGTGCTTAGAGTAGCACATGATAAATATTAATCTCCCTTCTCACCATTTTTTAGAATGAAGAAACTGAGAAAGCTGGAGGAGGAGTCTGCTTAGCAAATGTCAAGCACCTCTGAAAAACAGGACAATCATTTGAGCTCCAGCCATCCTACTAGTCACCTACAGTAGGATCTGGGGTGCCCAACAAAAGGCCACTGAGACTCTGTGAAGTAGGGGAATACATTCCCAGCCAAAGAAGACTCAGGTGTGTTTTTGTAAAGAGTCTCCAGTGACCACCAAGATACAGCATAATGTTTGTAACACCCAGCTAGTTTCCGGAAGGAACTGGGGACACTGACACAAGGTATAGAAGAGAGTGCATATAGAGGGCTGGGAAGGCACCATTTAATTCCCGATTCTGCCCCCCAGTCCTGCTGAGCCTCAGCTTCCTCTTCACTAAAATCAGGTTCGCGTTCTGCTCCCTCACAGCAAGGATTTGCAGAGTGGCTGCAGGCTGAGTGTGGTCAGTGACGCTCAGCCCCGGCCGGCACATCTGCTACCTCGTGCTCCTCTCTTGTCTGCATTCACACTGATGCCAAGTGTGAGAGTCGCATCGCTCAACCTCATGTGAGTCCTTGGAAGGTCTAGAAACCAGGCTCGAAGAATCTTCTGGAAGAGACATCTTTTGTTTTGACTAAGTTAAATGGACTAAGGAAAGCACCACAGGGAACAAAGAAGGTATATCCTAGCAAGCTAATTGCAGTATCTCTTGGTTCCAGGGGCAAATAAACGTGACAGCTGTCAGCTGCACAAGACATTCCTATACACCCTTTCCCCACCTGAGCATGCTTAGCCTAGGCCGAGTACTGTGCACACCGCCAGGTGCTCAGTAGGAAGGGAGGTGGCCAGCCAAGCTGTATACGTGGCTCTAAGCAAAAAGGATGTTGGCTTCAAGGCCTAGGTTTCACTCAGAACCCCTTTGTACCTAATCCCACTAACCAGGGATTCAACTGTCTCTTAAATTTTAAAATCCAAATGTTCCTCTATTCCTCCCTCCCTCCCTTTTCTCCTTTCTCACCCCTCTTTTCCTCCCTTCTCTGTCCCTTTCTCCCTTCCTACCTTTCTCATTTCGATAACACTCAGGCTTCCCTTCCAGGCAACACTCAGTGCCACTGATGTATGGTCTGTCGCCTTGGCAAGGTCTGCATGCCAGGCATGGTGCTCCCCTGGCAACACCTTCATCCCAGGCAGCTCTAAGTTCACTTTCTCTTGGTGCTTGTCACCTGGTCAGACCCACAGCCTGAGAGCTGGCCCAGGTCAGGCTATAGAAGCTCCCGGGAAATGCTGCCTTGTCAGTCTTTGTACTGGGCCAGCAGCTGCATGAACAGTAGGTACCAAGCTTCGATCGACACTGCTGTTGGTCCATGCACTTGCCCATCTGGAGAAGCGAGGAAGCACTTGATTCTCCTCCCAGCTCTCCTCAAACTAATGCCAGATGGATCCTGGACTCTGCCCAACACCCTAGAAGGTGTGGGGATAACAAGCCTCTTCTTTTCTCTTTTTTTTAGGTGAGAAAACCATCACGCAGAGATGTTAAGCAACTCAGCAGAAGTCACACCATTGAAAAGTAGCCAAGATGGAAGTCCACATGCTAAGAAATTCCAGGTTACTACGACTCTCCAGGAGCCTGCAAGTAAGTGTGCTTTTCCTCCTAGCAGCTGGGTCACAGGGCCAGTGGTATTTTCTGTTCTCATTCCCTCTTTGCCTGAGAGGCTAATCCTACCTTTTCTTTTTCAGGAGACTGTAGTACACCTACTCAGGAGGCAAAGGCAGCAGTCATACTGACCTAGAGAGAATTGAATGCATTTTCCAAAACACTTAGAAGACACAGGAACTGGGAAGAGGAGCTTAGAAAATTACCACCACCCCCCAAAAAGGAATGCGCACTCCCTCCTTCCCAGCCTGTCTCCTAGTGCACATAATATCTCTCACCATTGGTTTGGTCACTGCTGAGCTATCTTCATTTAATGTGGTTTTGACAAAATAGTTGGTCTGGAAATTTTATTTTCAATTAAACTTACTTGTTGAGCTGCCTCGGTTTTGAAAGGGTTCCATTAGGATGGCTAATTATATAGCAGTTGCTACAAGGAGATATTTGCACTCAATTTCAGCTCTTAGGTAATTCAACTCAAATGCTTTCTTTATATTTTTTCCTCCCTGGAGCAGCGCACAACCCATCTTCCTCTCACACTACAGGCTTCCCGTGAGCTATTTTTAGAAACCCAAATCAAAACAGCAATTTTGGCGGAGGCCATTTGTAGCCTAGCAGAGTAAACCATATGTACTGATAAAAACAGCCAAAACCACCTCCCTGGTTGTGGGGTCAGATGTCTGGGAGCTGCAGGCTGACCTTTATACTAAAACATTCCTTTGAAACCGCTAGCTGAAGTCAAAGGCAATGGAGCCGCCTTTAAAATGACAAAGGGTTTGTGCCTTTGCAGACAATTGCCACAGTCCCTGCATTTCACAATGGCAGCTCTGGCAGTATTTCCTGGGGCTCTGTTATGGTCTCTGGGTCCCTGGTCGAGGAGGGAGGGCACTTCCTTGATTTTCTCTACTCTGCTTTCTTTGAGCAGCACACACTCACTACCTCCTTGTGCTTACCCTCAGGGTCACCCCCTGCCCACAGGCAGAGTATAAGGTGAAGGGTAGGGCTGTACTTTTCACCCTGTGGTATTCTTGGTGCACAGTAGGTGCGAATACGCAGATGAGTCATTACAATGCTATTTGCATTCTCATTTTGAAAAATGTCAATCTTTTATTACATAGATACTAAGTGAATGTATTTATCTTAGGGCAAAAAAAAAAACCCTTGCCAAATAAGGCTGAATGTCCTCCAAGTCACCATCTCCAGCCCTTGTCTCTTCGTTACAAGCATTTGTCATCATTTAGAACACATCTTTACAGACCTTCCTAATACATTTCTGCACATTATGCACACACACACAGTCAACCTCTAGACCTGTGATAAGCAGAATATTACAAAGCTTATCCAGTTTCACTCAGCAGTCTATCCAGGGGTGCAGTGCACGGCCACCTCTTTCCTTTGAACTGCTGCACAGTTTTATTACACTGAGTAGATACGCCATCTCTGATTAGAACCAAATAAATTCCTTTACCTGCTTTCCTCATTAGACCTCTAGATCCATTCTCATGTGTAGGTTGACCAACTAGCCATATCCACTGCTATCTAGGTAGCTATATAACATTCTGTTAAAACCAGCCACCTTCCTAGGAGATTATGCCAAGCCAGTAGAGACAAGTGTGTGAAATTCTAAGGGTTGCCAATGAGACCAAAATTCTTTTGTCCTCCACCTAAGGAATAGCACTGTGCCCTGGGAATTGCCTAGTAGTGGAGAGGGAGTGCTGTGGGATTCAGCTGGGCTCTGCTCACAGCCAAGGTGTTCCTGGATGGGCCCTCGCTCCCCAGACCTTGTCTTTCTTATTTGTACAATGGACTCAGGGAACCTCTTGAAGCTGTTAGGCTGTGAATAATAGGCCTTTCACAGTGCTACCAGGATTGCCCCACAGAATGTGTGATTGGTTCTTTGTCTGCTGTGTGTAGGCTGGGGAAAGAGGCAGCCCCCAGCACACCCCAGTCCAGAGCTCTTCCTGAGACCACGCCATGAAGAACCCGGGAAGGACTGCCTCTGGACTGTACCCTTCTTTCCTATTGCTTTGTCATTCAATTAAAATTAGTATTACAGTTTTTGGCTCTGTTTGGTCTTTTTATTCTAAGCAAGGCAGTTAGGTGACAGGGAAAGAGATTATGGAACCCTGAGTTTTGCTTCTAGGTTTGTCTAATTCCAGCTGTGTATTTTTAGGTCAGTCATTTACCTTTCCTGGGCTCTCATCTATTAATGTCACAATTCAATCAGCCAGGTATGCACTAAAATAATATCCAAAAATTGGAAACCACGCCCGTGTGTGTTTCTCTTGGCGTTTCTGAGTCTGCTGTCACCTGCAGATGGCTCATCTCGTGAACTGATGAGGCATCCTAAGAAACCCATGAAAACCGTGCTTCACAGGAGTACTGTGCAGCTGCCCTGGCCCCTGTGACATGTGCCACACCCCTAAGAGGGCTCCGAGAGGTCCAGAGCAGGCTGGGAGCTGCTCAGGTTTGAGGGCGGGTATTCTCCCTGAGCCCTGGGGCTGGATCGCATGTGGGGACTGAGGGCATTCCCCTACTGTGAGCCTCCAGACCACAGGGGCCTCAGGCTCTGCTTCCCATTGGGTGGTGTCCCTGACACCCTAGGGAGGTTTTCACATGTGGGCTAAGAGCCTCGGCCCCTGGCCTTGACCTGCACGTAGGTCTGGAGACACAGCGTGGTTCTGCAGGTGAAAGATCAGTGTGACTGGTGTAAGAGCCACCAGGATCCAAGCCCTGTGATCTCTGGAGACTTGGCTGCCCTGGTCCTGACCTTGCTATGTGCTCCTACTATGGGCTTTGGCTTCTGATCACTACCAGAACCAAGCCTGTGTCCCAGCGGAGCAGCTGCCTGCAGAGACAGCAGACCCAGCAGCGTGCTTTGCCCAGGACCCCTGCAGCCAAGCAGCTGAGCCTTTCTGCCCTGCGGGTCTTCTTCACAGGAACACAGACTCAGCCAGGTCCTTCCTTCCCTTTCTCTTGCTTATATAAGACATACCTAATTTCATAGGCTTTGAATCTGTAACTGAATTTCCGAGAGCCCACTGCTGATGTTCCTCACATTAACCCAAATAAAATCAAAAGGCAGCATGTGAATAGAGAAAGCATCATTAGCAAGGTTTACGTGCCAACCAGTGTAGACAGATAAGTGAATAAATAAACAAAGGGGTGGCGGTTACTGGCTGCACACTGAGCAGCTGCCTTCACATTAGAATAAAGTGCTTTCGACTTTGATTTGCACTGTTTAGCCCCCCTACCACACACACACACACACACACACACACACACACACACACACACACCCCTGTATTTCATCTTCCTCCAAGCTATCAGTGCCTCTGATGCTGTTTTTATTCATAACCTGGAAACTCAGAGGCAAGTTCACCTACCTATGGCTCATAGACCTTTGCTCTGAAATGCTTGGTGCAGCCAGGGTAAGATGTTGGAGAGTCTGAGATAAATTCCCTGCCACAAACTATCACACTAAGCCAACTTGCCTGAGCAGGGGGTCCTTGGAGTGAGGGTGGCTCCTACCTCCTCTCCAAGAGGTGTGTCATGGAGGGGACTCGGGGTGAACACAGCCCCCACCCCATGCTGGCAGGGTGCTTGTTCTGCCTTCGGCTGCAGACTCTTCTGTGCTTAGTGCACCCCTCCACCAACAGAAATGCCCCAGTGTAGGAGATCTCAGATTCCGGGAAGACTAGATGGGGAGTTCTTAAAGGCTAGAGATGTCAGCCAAACAGTGGCACACACCTGTAACCCTAGCTCCTGGGGATGAAGCCGGAGGGTCATAAGTGGGAGAGCAGCCCAGGCAGCTAAGGGATGTTATGTTTCAAAAAAATAACAAATAAAAGGGCTGGCTGAGGATGTATCTCAGTGGTTAGGGCACTGCAGGTTCAATTCCTAGCATCACAAAATAAGTAAAGACCTACCTCAAGGCCAGAGATGTCATTTTATGTGCATCTCCAGTGCTGGCGTCCTGAAAGGAATCAACAAATAAATGCTTGCTGGGCTGACAAGTGACTGAGCAAGTAGATTTGTAACCTTTTCTTTCAGAATTTCCATTTCTCATTGACTTTCAGATACCTCCGGCACCTCTGGTGACCGCTGCCTTCCCATAAGTATCTTTGGAATAAGCTTCGGGGTTGATTTCTTTGGTTGAGTTCAAGCAGCCCTATATAGCACATAGCTTTGGAGTTCTAAGTCACCCCCGGTGTGCAGGGATTTAAGGTGGAGGAACAGTGCCTTCCACGGAGCAGGAGGATGCCAAGGAGGTGCGGGAGAGAGGCGTGCTGGTGGTGTTAGCTCCCCAGTCGCGTCTTCTCTCCTCCCACTGTAGCTGTCATAGACTTTGAATATATACGCATGTATTGGAGCACTTGTATCAAAAATAGTATAAGAAATTGGAAAAAGAAAAATTCATAATCTCATTACCCTTGGTAACATAATAGTTGTCATTATCAAGGTGCTAAAACCCACTTGTGTCCTTGTATAGCTTTTTACATAGTTATTACTTTAAGGTGCTGTCCAATTTTTTCACACTTGGGTTTTCCCAGCAGCAGTGCCCACCACATTCTGTAGCCTTCTCACCCACTATTTTCTAATTTTCTTTCATCCTCATGGTCATTAGTGATGACTACAGTTCCTAACTTTTCTTGCTTATAAAGCTTCCCTGACCTAGTATCTCCTTTGTCTCAAGAGAATTTCAGAAACAGAATCCCTGGATTAAAGGGTATGAATATTTTTTAGCTACATAGTTGTAGTAAATGAATAGACCTTATTTTGAGCAATTGTAGATTTACCAAAACAACTGAGTGGAAAGTAGTTGCTGTGTGCTCTCTCCCTGGCCCCTCATGTACCCTGTTAGCATTTGGCATTACATTGCTACATTTGCTATAATTTATGAACCAGTATTGACGCATTATGAGTACCCAAAGCCCATGGTTTATGTTAAGTTTCACTCCTGTGTTGTATACTTCTGTGTTTTGATAAATGTGATATTATAAATTCCCCGTTACAGTTTCACACAGACTAATTCCACTGACCTCAACATCCTGTGTTCCCCCTTACCTTCTCATATCACCTAGCAACTATGTCTCCGTACTTCTGCCTTTCCCAGAATGTCACAAGGTTAGAATCAAATGGGAAGTATCCTCTTAACATTGGCTTCTTTCACTTAGAAATATGCATTTAAATTTCTGCCATATTTTTTATGGCTTGACAGCATGTTGTTTTCAGTGCTTAGCAGTATTCTATTGTCAGGGTGTACCATAGTTTATTCATCCACCAAAGGACATTTCGTTACCTCCAAGTTTTGCAGTGTTCAGTAAAATAGTCCTGAACATTTGGGAAGTTTTGTGTGGGTGTGTTTTTAATTCATTTGTGTAAATGCCAAACTGCAGCTGCATGTCCTCTTCTAGTATGTTTAGTTTTGTAAGAAACTGCCAGGCTGTTTTCCAAATAGCCTGTACTGTTCTGCACTTCCCCAGCCATGAACATAAGTTTCTGTGGCTTCAAATCCACATCAGAGCTTGGTGGGGTTAATATCCTGGATTTGGGCCATTCTGAGAGCTCTGCGATGGCAGCTCATTGCTTTAATTTGCATTTCTCTAATGGCATATAATGTGGAGAATCTTTTCATATGTTTATGTGACTTACTATCAGTGATTTGCTGTGTGTCTTTTGCAAGGTGTCTTTCTGAGTCCTTTGCTGTGTTCCTGTGTGTTCCAAATACATTGTTTTTCCAGCTTTTTCATTGGTTATGCAGATTAATGGGTTTCATCATGATAGACTCATATATGCACATACAACCTACTTAGTCATTTCATCCCTATCTCTTTTCTTGCCTGCCTCTCTGCCCCAGCTTGCTTGGAGGGCTCAATGTTTACAGGATCTTTTGCTCATGTCCATTTCCCCTGTTCCCACCCCTTCCCTCTTATCCCCTTTCTCTTTCCTGATAATGGTCTCTAATCTATTTTGTGTCATTCTTGTAGATTCTGTGTATAAGGAGAACATGCAATATTTGTCTGACTCTGGCTTTTTTTTCTTTCTTGTTTCTTTTGTCTTTTTTTTTTTTTTTTTTTTTTGGTCCTTTTGACACAGGATTTTGCTATGCAGTTCAGGCTGGCCTTTAACTCACAGCAATTCTCCTGCCTCAGCCTCCCTAGTGCTGGACTTGCAGGCATGCACCACTACAACCAGCCTCATTTTATTATTCTTGAGATTTAAGAGTTCTTTGTACATTTTTAAAAGACAGTACTTCCAAAATCAGTACACAGATTTTATACAATCTTAATCAGAATTCCAACAGTATTCTTCACAGAACTGGAGAAAACAACGCTAAAATTCATAGGGACCCCAAAGACACCCAGAATAGCAATCCTGAATAACAAGGGCAAACCAGGAAGCACCCCTATCCTGGACTGAAGTTATATTACAAAGCTACAGTGATAGAAACAACACAGAAAGATGAGGATCAGTGGAACGGAACAGGAGAAGCAGAAACAGCTCCATGTACATTCAACTATGCTGATCTTTGGCAAAGGGGGCTGAAAACATACCAGAGGAAAGGTAGCCTCTTTAATAAATGGTGCTGGGAAAACTGTTCATCTGCAGATTGAATCTAGACCATAGTTCTCACCATGTACTCAACTAAAATCAAAATGGATCGAAGATCTAAATGTCAAAAAAGAAATATTAATCTGCAGGAAGATAAGCACTTTTAAAACAGAACAGTGGTTGTGCTGGAAATACTGCCAAGAATCAGCACATGGGATCACATCAAATTTTAAAAAACTTCAACATAGCAAAACCAACAGTGAGAAGACAACCTAGAGGTGGAAAAATATTTTACTTGCCATTCCTCATACAGAAGACTAACATCTAGAAAATGTAAAGAACTCCAAAATTACACACACCCCCAAAAAATAAGAGACCCAATAACAAATGTGAGTGAAATGAATAGTCACTTCACAAAAGAAGTACAAATGGCCAATGAATACATGAAGGAACACCACTGACCATTAAAGAAATGCAAATTAAAACAACACTGAGATTCCATC